CGCGCCGCGCCGCGCCGCACCTGCGCCCGCTCTCTTGCAGCGCAAGTGGTTATATTTGTAGTCCTCGTGTACTCTCTTCTTTCCCTGCGATCTCATGCAGACCAAGTATGTACGCGGAAAAGAAACGACTTGCACTCGGCCGACTGCCAGACTATATTTATCTCAACGTGCCGATTACACCTGTAAAAAGTCCTGTGGGAACGGATTACGCGAATCCCGTATAGCCGTCTATTCGTCAGTTGAGTCTAGATTCAAGATTTCACTTGAACGTTTAATATATAATAAATGTTCTACGACTTATGCAAAATGCAGATAAAGACTTAATGTGCGTGTAGATATGCATCGCGTTTGCACAGCACGAATATCTAAACTGATTGTTTTGCGTATATTTGCCGATTAAAGTATATAAATGACTGTAACTGTGATAAAAGCGACAAAATGAACGTGAAATAATTGTTCTAATGAGTTTTGAGCGAATTTAATTTGAGATATGTAAACATAATGGTGAGACGATAACGATAAAAAATGTGACTACACACATATCATTCCGCATCTGTCTACTAAATAACTTCGTCAATAAATAAAAAAAACTTCAATCTTTGTTATCGCGAATCGGAAAAAAAAAACCGGAAATTCTAATTTCTGTCCTCTACACAAACGTTCACACACTTAAAAACAAAAACTTTTTTTGTTTTTTGTTAATAGTGTTAATTTGATTTTGCGATTATTATTTAAAGTTTGATGTAGTGGGTGGTGGCGCATCAAACGATGTAGGAAGACAAAAAGTCACAACAGTCGTAATTGACGTCATAATTTTCGCGTGGTCGCCGATCGATAATGCGTCCAGGTGATTTAATTGGCAGACGGGAAATAATCGCGGCAAAGTGGACCATCGCGAATGTCTAAGCGAAGTAATAACAACGATATTCTTGTCGACTGTGTACGTCACGGCGGTGACGTAAGCAGATATCGGGCATACGCCCGATGGACGAAGAACACGTTTGAAAATATCGGTAACCCAAATTGTCCTGTAATATAATATTCAATTATTTATCTGTCGATTCACCGCAAATAGTTCGCAGAGAGAACGCGAGATGCAATTAGCAACAATAAAATATTGCTGAGCCAAGAGATTTTCTCTCGGCTTTTTTTCGAATAAGATTTCATTGTTGTTCATAGAAGAAAATCGATAATATATCGCTTTAATATTCGATTTTTTGGTCAAAATATTGAACAATAGTTGAACGAACTTGTGACGCGTCGCGTTGTGTTCGGTTATTGAAATAAATTCAAAACGACCGAAACATTCACAAAAAGCGACTGTTAAAAAGCCACTTTTGTCATGAATAAAATATGGTTATTCTTTTAATATAATTTCATATCTTAATCGAGCTAAAACTGTGTGTGCAATCGTTAAACTCATGAATTAGTATGTTCATTATTGCGTTTGATTTTACGGTAAAGTTTCTTTTCTTTTAACAACCAATAGGTAAATGCAACGAATAATATAATGCGACCCAAATATCGAACACCTGCCTTAACAGTATAGATATTTAATAATTTGCTTTTCTCCTTCGACGTTTTAGATGTTAAATTTTATGAAAAAGTTTAAAATGTTTTGTCGCATGTGTGAGAAGTGCAATAGAATTAACAGTTTTTGATAACGTCCGCAATTTAATAAATTGCTATTGCGTCAATTTCTTATCTTTTTCTAATTATCAATTAAAACATCGATAAACATCAAAATTAGTCTGCAAACTAAAATTCTAATACTTCAACATTATTATTTATAATGAAATGTTGATAAAAGAAGCAAAAAATCATTTATACACTTATTAGCTATAAAACTCTCAAGTTGTGTTTCAATCAAGCGATCGCGTCGAGAATCGCGATCGAACAAGACGCTCGATCACCCTGAGCAAGGTGGTAACCATCACCCGCCATCACCATCTTCATCGTACATCACCACCACCATAACCATCACCAGCAGCGAGCAGCCTAACGGGGCGATCGGTGATCTTGCGCGCACCGATTTGTTTGTTTATCGGACTTACACTTGTTCCAATGCTCGTGATGTTGCGCTGGGTGTTGCTCGAGATTTCGATGGTGATCGTGGTTGTTATTGGTGTCCGCGGCGATGGTGACCTGATGGTACGGCGTTGAAGTGGCCAGATGAATCGGCGTAGCTGCCGATCGCTCCTGTTGCTCGACCCTCAGGTGCCGGACGGCGGCAGCGGCGGCGATATCGATGGCGCCGCGATGCTGCTGCTGTTGCTGCTGCTGCTGCTGATGATGGTGATGCGCCGCGACGGCGGTCGCTTCCGTGTTGTCCTCGACGGCGGTACGCATCGTATGCGTACGATCGGCGACGCTTACGGCGCGCTTCGTTCAATCGCGACTGCTCATCGGGCAATCGCCGATCGCGCGTGACATCCCGCGCGATTCGCGATGAAGAAACGCGTTCGGTCTGACACGCGTTGCGTTTTGAGCAACGGAGAGATCGTTCTCGGTTTGTGTGTTATATTTTTGCGCGAATCTCTCGAGATAAAAATTCGCAAGAAATTTCAAGCGAGTTCCGGTACACCGGATGGCGGCGATCCGCTCGCTTCGATCGGCGTAGGCAATCGACCAAAAATCTAGATCAGTCTAAATTCGGCGAGAATCTGATATGTCTGAACACCGAATATCAATGAATTTTTAGACGTGTTCGATCCTTATACGTAAAGTGGTGAGATCGTGAAGAATGAGATCGAAGTAGGTATGTATATTTTTTACACAATCCACGCCGACCGGTTCTTATAACATCGTCGTCGCGCTCCGCACAGAAAATGCGAAAAGAACTAACGTTCATTATCAGTACATCCCTTTAAACGAAGCATGCGCGCCGCGCCGGCGAGCGGGTGAAACGGCGGAAACGAGGGAAAGAAGAAGGTGAAGTAGAAATAGCGATAAATGATCAGACAATGCGATAAAGCACAATCGAAAATTTGGATGCGACTATTCGATGGGAACGTTTTTTTTTTTTTTCTATAACCGTTCTCGGTCAGAGGAAGGACGAATTTCCAGTCTCTAAATAGGAAACGAACAAGAAAAAAGGAGAAAAGAGGAACAAATCGGATCAAGGGAGTAAACAAGATAATTTCTTGCCGCTCCAACCGGTAAGGAGCGCGCGCGGTCTCTACACGCAACACACATAACACATATAGGAATGGAGTTGGAGCCTCCTCTCTCGCGCAAAAACGAATGAACGGAAGGTGAGACAGCACACGTGATGTAGCACCGACCTGCGTGCGTCGTCGTAGGGTAAGGCGAGTCCTTCCTAACGATGTCGTCGGAGGTCAGCGCCCCACCGAGGAGCCCGAACACTTCCGCCCTGGGCACTCGCATGCAGAATCCTGATTCCTCGTCGCTTATCGTTGCTGTCGCGTCGTCGTGCCCGACGACATCGTCGTTATTTCTTCCGGAACTGGTTCCCAAATGCAACCGCTGCTGTTCGATGATGATTGAACGTAAAAGAGGCCGATAAACGTCGCGGTTATCATTCAGCACACGTACTCGATTAATCTCGTTGTCTCACTCGGATCAACACGCGGAAAAACTCGACACGACTCGAGATCGCACAGGTGTCTCTCAGTCGCGAATTTTTTTGCAAACCACCCTCGCGCAAATCGCTCAAAATCTCGTCACGGATTCCTTAAGCGCGAAACGAAAACGACCGTGTCTGCTCGGCGTCGATTCTCTGCGAAAAGAGCCAAGCAAATGCCGAAAGAAAGAAAGATCACGAGAGACAGGTGAAAGAGAGCCTGAGAGTGGAACTCCCTTCAGTTACCCCGAGAAACGATACACTCGCACGGGTGGCCGGCCGCCGCGTAACTGAGTCCGGAGCGCGCGCGTTCCTCCGCTATATTAAAACCGTACCGTGTGTAGCGGCGACGGCGGCGGTGGCGGCGGCGGCGGCGGCGGCGGCGGCAACGGCGATGGTGATGGTAGCACAGTATGGGATGGAGAATAGAAGGAGCGGCGGTGAGGAGGAAAACGGCGCTAACGATGACGTCATCGCAGACGTCATAACCTGGGAGCACGCACACGGCAGCAGCCGGCGGCGGATCGATGGACCCGACACGAGTGTGAGCGCAGCTATTGGCCCACGCGGCCGATGATGCCGTTACGGTGACGTCAGCACCGCCGGCTTCTCCCTTTCCCGCGTGTCGGCTGCTTCCGCCCCCGCACCCTCCGGGCGATCGTTTTCAACCCCACGCAACCTCGAGGCAGCGGCGGCACGCGGACCGTCGCACATCGCTCTTAAGATAAACAAAAAAGATGAACAAGCGTACAAAGAAAAAGAGAGAAGAGAGAAAAAGAGACAAAGAGAGATTATCACTTTGTTCAAGATTCTCATTTGTTCTGCAACTTTGATTTTTGTTGTTTTGCAGATAGACTTTTATTAACACATATTATAATTGTGTTACTATATGAGACAACGTTGTGCTTCTCACGCTGCGTGGTCAAATAAATTTTTGATGCAAGATAATTGTAAAGTAATATAATTTGTAATATATTTTCTTTCATAGAGCATTAAAAGTTTTTTTTTGAAGAGAGATTATATATTATAATTGTATATACGTACAAAAAACAATTATCTCTATTTTTTTTTATAATATACCGGTATTCTTTTTACATACATATGTGCATATTAAATAAGAGTTTATATGCATATATATATATATATATATATAATTTTCTAGTAAAATATTTCTTTATGTAAAACTGATTAATATTATAAATTCCCAAGGGTATTTTTAAATTACATTTTTAAGTATACATTTTATCATTATTTATTAACTGTCGCCTATCACAAAACATTTTTTTATATTTAAATTCGTCGACTTAATAAAAGTTTATAATCTAAACGCTAAATTTACAATTAAATTACGATATTCTTGGAAATCGCGCAAAACATCGTGACAAATGATTCGGTTTGTTTGATGACGACGATTTTGCAATGTCTGACAAGCGTAAATCGAACGCACTATCATCTTTCTTGCGCATTACCATAAATATACCGAGATCGATCTGACGGCGAGCTTATGTGGCTGGTTTTGTAATATCGATGAGAAGAAACTGCGAGAGTCGATACGTTGTCCGTGCGTGCAGCGATGCACTGGAATGCATCGAAGCCGCGCAGACGTGCTGCTGTTATTAACCCATGACCTAGGAACGCGCAATCTAGTCAATCTCGTAATGTAACCGATCGTTTGGCTGACGATTATCGCGTAAGAATGTGACGTTGTCTCATTATTTTGTCCGCGGAATGATTTCAGATTTAAAACACACATTTAACTTATTTTATAAACTTAGAAAGTGAGAAATTCTCTAGAAAGTGTATAAAACTTAAGAAACTAAAGTCTCCTTAAGCACGGCGCGAAACAAAAACGTTTATCTCTCTATGACGTAACGGATCATCGAAGGATTACGATATTTTTTTTCTTTAAGGATAAAAATCGCATTTGAATTTTGTTCTCTCTTCAAAGCTATTTTAATTCCTATCTAAAAAATATTCCTGAACTTTAAAAAAAAAAACATTAAATGTGGGAGGAAAAGCAACTTTGTTTTATATTTTTTAATTACATTGTTTCGGTCATCGTGAAAAAAATGTAATCCACCTTGCGGAAGAGTGTCAAATTAGAATTCCAATAAAATGCGGATTTGCTTCTACGTATTGTTGTAGGAGCGAGCTGCGTTTTAAATTAAAGACGAATCACTAGTGAATGTTTTCGTTTTTATCAATTCGCCGTCGATACGGTAAACTTAATTAAAAGTTTCGGTTCGAAATCGGTCGTAACAAGACTCTTGAGAACGGACTCTCGTGTCTGGATTTTCGTCTCATTGTTCGCGAATCCTCACGCGCGGACTCGATCATTCGGAATAAGCAGTTTGATACGTCATCGAGTTATCCGTGACGTCACTGAAACGATGACGTAATTGTTTTCCCCCACTGCGTAGCCTACTATGACGGATGCCTACGCCATTCTTATCGGACGCTTGTGCGCATGGGTCAGTTACGATCGGGGAGCTGGAGAGGGTTGTTGCCGACGCAGTAAGAGAGAGAGAGAGAGAGAGAGAGGGAGAAAGAGAGAGATAACAAATAGGTGAACGGGGAGGAAAGACAGAGAGGGATGCACGGCGGTCTTTGTGGTCGATTTCTACCACCGCCGCGCGGCCTCCATTCATGCATTACCCGACGCACCCCGCGCATCTACCTAAGCTCCTTGCACCTTCGAGCGCTTCCACGTCCCCTCGCGTCCCCTTGTATGTGGTGCACGCGTGGCAAAGCGGAGGCGTCAGCACGAGCCGACGTTGCCCCGGTTTAATCAGCCGGAAGATAAGCACTTCGACACGTGACGAAATGCTGAGAGCTCGTGATCGACTCTGTGATGTCGCCGGCGTGCCGTCACCTGTATGAAGCGACCGCTGATCCAGAAAAGCATCGACTAAGAGGTAAGGTCGTCTTCGATTCGCGCCAGGATGAAATCGGTGACCGCGCTGTTCTCGCTAAAGGAGAACGCTCGCCTTTAAGTCGGGGCGCGTTGAATTGAGGTATATTTTCATGCGTCTCTTGTTGTCCGATAACGCACAATGTCATAGTAATATGTTGAGAGTGCGGTGTATACAGTGATATTTTAATCACTGTACAAGCAGTTACGTAATTTAATGGTTCTACTAATGTTCGAAAAATTTAAAAATTAAATAAATATCTATTAGATTGAATTATAAAAATCCGTCAACGTCAACAATCTCTCTCGCCGTAAATAAATTTTATTATCTCGAGACAAGAAGAAAAACTCGCAACTTGAATTGCGAAAGTTTAATCAACAATGCGAGACAAGAACAACATACAATAACAAGAACTGACTGACATTCACGATAATACAACGAGCAAGATTATCACGACGATCGTGTTGTGAGATGCATATAAATGTCGGTAATAAGATAAAAGGCGAATAAAGTCATTTGCCTCTCGGCGGAATCGGCGTTGATTTCGACAAGGCATCGATCGACGATGAACAACGGCACGTATCTCTCGCGCACAGGTTGCGGGTATAGACTGTACAGATATAATATACATCTGTAATCGATTCGCTATCGGCAAACGCGGATTATGTACACAATAACACGGCAAACTGAGCTTTCGACACAATCTCAACCGTCACTCGATAATTCTGATAATTCATATTGATAAGATTTCATAATTGAAATTATTATCTATTCTGTGTTTTTCTCTAACGACATTCGCCGCGTGGGTCGCTCATTACAGACAGCCGCGTCGTTCATTACAGCCGCGGTAAGGTCTATCTGATATTAATGACGAGGCGTGTAGAGCAATATTCCGGGCGCTACCTTGATTAATTAGCAAGCGTGATTAATTAACAACACCGCGGCTGATAATAATTTCGTAACAAATTCACGAGAAATTTCTCTCGTAACATTGCTTCGAGTTTTTGACATTCACATTTTGTTTTTTTTTTTTTGTCTACTATTCGGATATGCATTGATCGCCCAACGTCTTCGCGTCTCTTGCGTCACACTTATATCGCCGTATAGTCGCTGATCTGATGTCATTATAATTAAAACAAGGAAAATGGAACACACACGTGCTAAGATATTTCGAGAAACCTTGGAAGGTTAAAGGCACTTTGTCGTGTCTGAATGACGGAAATAGTACTGAATATTTTTAAATGTCGGGAAATGTAGAACGTGTGTTTAGAATCATCGTGACGGACCGGAAACAATTGAAATTGTTCGAAGAGAAATATACTTCGAAGCTTATCATTTTTTATTGCAGTAATATCGTAAAGTGTGAAAAATCAATCTCATCGGTAATATAAAAATAGCAATTTCGTAAAATTCACGGAAATTGAAATTGAATAAAATTATTTTTGCATTCGAACCGCGCCAAAATGTTATGTTTCGGCAATTAATAACTAAATTGTATCAAATCACAAAGACACGTGCATAATTCGGAGCAAATGGACATCTGTCCGTTCCGATGACAGAAATACACGAAAAATAATATTGGAAGGATGCGAAAGACGCGCGGACATGTAACATACATTCTTTATTCGCGATTACACTCGATGCAATATTTGGTTCTCTCTCTCTCTGCATACTTTTTACTTGCAAATTCGTATTATATAAAGAAATCTCTACCTGTCACACAGTCATAACATTTTGCGAGACAAATTCCAGTTATAAATTGACTTAAAATAGACTTTTTTGTTTACTGTTTACACTTACCTTTGTTAGGTTAAAACGCAAAAACTCAAATCTGTATATCTATAGATATCTCGACCTTAAAACGTACACACAACCGCAACTTTTTTCTTTCGCATTGACCTCTACAAGCATGCAGAGACACTTTGTATTTTATATTTATTATATAAATAATGTCACTCGAAATTGTATCACTGTACCGTACATAAGGTTAATACGATGAGCAAGAAGTTAATATATAGAAAAAGTTTGAAAGCTGCACACTTTCAAACAAAAAAAAACCATACTATCTGATGGATATAAAAATATCATTGAAGATCTAACTTTTTTACACGAGACATGTTTGCTGCCTCTTTTTGTTTTTTTTTTTTTGCAACTGAGGAACAACGTAACGAAATAACGCGCTAAAACGCGAAGGATTCTTGAGAGCTGCACAGAGGATGAGCGGATGCTCCTTGCATGGCCACAGGCAAGTGTCGGTCAGCTCTTGTGTGGGGCAAACTGCACAGAGCTCCCCGGCTGATAATTTGTTCTTATTACTCAACTCGAAGCCGGTGTGAACTGTTTAATGATTTTTTAATAAACTTCCGG